GAAGTACACTGCTGAGGGGAGCAGCGGGCGGGCCAGGAGAGGTCTGCCACACCATGTGGTCACCTCCGGGGCTGGCAGGAATCGAACTCATGAGGAAGTGGCTTTAGATTCTCAGTGCTGTGCTTTAACCTGCTGCGCCACCAGGGAGGGCCTCCCCATGATATTTTTAATATGCTGTCCTAGTTAGTTTTCAACAGCTCTATTATCATGTGTCTTGGAACATGTCTGTCTTTTATCATTTGGTCTGGAATTCTTTGGGGCCTCTTGGATCACAATTTCTGGTTCATTGTGATGGTTTTCAATGATTATTTCACTGAAATAGGTTTTCAATGCCTATTCTTTTCTTCTCCCTCTGGGATCTCCATGGCCTCGGTATTGTTTCTCTTTAAGCTGTCCCAGAGCATTCTTACATTGGTTTCACTTTTTAAATTCTTTTTTTCTACCTAATTCTATGCTTGTGTTTCCCCCACCTTGTTTTTCAAGTTTGTTCTCTCCATTGCTTGTTTATCTGCTGTCCAGGCCCACAACTGTGGTTTCTGAAATCAGCTACACCACAGCTCTCTTTTGAGGCCCTGCTCTCCAGTGACCAAGACTGTGCACATGGAGTGCTTCCTACCCATTCCCATCAGGGTGATGCCCCTGTGTGTAAGGTGGTAGTTTTTCCTCAGAGTCTTGTGACTTTGTTTTCCCCCAGTTTTGCTGTGTTTACAGGAAGACAGTTTGGCGTCTTCACTCTGCTTCCATTTTACTGGACCACTCTCCTCTCAATTCAAATGTTCATCTCATCCAGAAACGCCAGGGCAGACACATCAGAATGATACTTGATCAGATCTCTGGGCACTTCATGGTCTAGCCAGGTTATATCAAATTGGCTTTAACTGATATGGATGGAAATGAGGCGCTCCTAACAAATGCTCTGCCCACTCTTCTTCAGCCCCTGGTGGTGACTTTGAAGGACACGCCGTGCACTGGTGGCCGAAGGCACCTCTGCCTTGGTCAGGCTCCGCTGCCTGGGCCATTTGTGGGACAGTGACAGTTGTCTGTGGCCTGGGGACAGGCTTTCTCGGATACAGGTGAGTTAGTCATAAATTTTTCAAATGTCCTCTGGTTCCTTGATGGAAAGTCTAGCATTTCTAAAACAAAAAAAAACAAACCCTTGTGAGGACCTCCCTGATGGCACAGAGGTGAAAGTCTCACCTTACAAGCTATCTTGTTAGCTTGCAAGCTGTCTTATAGCATGAGTTCCATCCCGGCCAGGGAGCTGACCCACATGGCACAGCAGACCTCTCCTGTCTCACTGCTGCTCCCCTCAGCAGCGTATTTCAGTCGATCTGCCTGTTCTGCTCCTCCCCACTCTGTCTCTGGTGGATCCTCTTCTCCTTCCCTCACACCTCTGGTCTACATGCCAGCTCTTCTATGCAAAAATAAATAAATCTTAAAAAAAAAAAAAAGTGTGGGAGGGGAAATCCTTGTATTTTGTATTTCTGGAAACTCATGAATGTATTGTGAGTTCCAAACATGGCTGCTGTTATGGTAGCACTCATTGCTCCCTCCGCCTCCAAGAGAGTGAAGAGCATCGTATACAAACACCAGAAGGAGGTTCCTCTGGCCAGTTCTCCCGTGGCAGTGCAGCCGGATAGACTTCAGGGGACTACAGTACTCTTACCCAAGCAGGAGTCCCAAAGAGGAGGCCTCCAAGCCAGATGCTTTAGCCAAGGACAGGTCATTAATCACACCTGCTAAACGAGACACCATGCACACATCTGGGAGACTGCGTATCGCTCACCTTTCATGGTTCTGGTTATGTCCCGCCACACACACTGCCTCCCTTGCTGGCCCTGCACACAGCCCCAGGGTTACTCAGTGTGGCTCCCTCAGGCGCATGTCTTCCTAGCCCATGGACTAGTCCTGGCTCCTAGTGCCTAGGATATAGGGTTTTAGCAGAAGCAAAAGAATTTTCTCAGTGCTGTCATACCACGCAGGGTCTGATTCCTGACAGGGCTCAGCAGATGAAAATTCACTTTTATTGTTGTGAGTGCTCTTATCATCAATACTCACCTCTACCTCCCTTCTCCTCCTTCCGACCTCTGAACTCTCCTCTGTCGTATGCTGGGTTTCCTTTCTCTTTCACACTCAGCAGCTCCATCCCCTCTTGGCAACAGAGACCCTCACCCCACCAAAGGGAAGAATGGCACAGTGCCCCCCTCCCGCCCTCAACTCCCATGGAAGTGTCAGTGTTAGGATGTGGACTCTGTCCCTGAGTGTGGACAGCTTCACCCTCTGCCGGGCTGACAATCTCTCCCTGGACACAGGTTTGACTCAGCACAGTGTGTCCAGTGGCTGTACCTGCTGATCGTCTCCGTGGTCTGCTGTGTTCTACTCACCCAGCCGCTCATGGTGAGCAGTGTCCTTCTGTGTTGCAGTCACTCTCCACCAACAGGAAGCCTACCGGGGAATAGTGGCTCCATGTTGGTGACATAGTACTTTTATCCACAGTTTGACCCCACATACTATGGGAGCCAGCCCTGGCTGAGGTACAAGGGGCCTCTTAACCACCCTCATAAGCCCCATGGTGGGGGTGATTCTCTTAACTCCTGTTTTCGATGCCAGGACACTAAGCCTAGTGGCAGAGGTCACTGGCCCATGGCCTGGCCTGAGGAATAGGCCAGGTACCAAAGACCGGTGACAGGTGTGGGCTGCAGAGTCCTGTCCCCGTCAAGAACCAGGGGCAGCTCTGTGGGGCTTCCAGATGAGGTGTGGCTGATTCTGGCATGTTTCCTCCAGATAGGTATCGTGGCTTTGGGCTTTGCTTGGAAAAGGAAAAATGACAAGCACTTTTTCACTGCATCTTTGCATGCTGCTACCAAGGATCTAGACACTGAACTCGAAGGACCCCGTGGGACCTTCAGCACTCTGTCTTCGAGCTGTAGAGTTCCCAACTGGGCCAGCGAGATTGAAAACGTGAGTGTTAGCTGAGCTTCAGGGAATTGCACTGTGCAAGCACTGTGGACATGCTGAACTTATGCTTTGAATTCAAATTCAGTTGTATTGCTGGAGATCTGTGGGCATATTTTAATTTCTGATCCTTCATGTACATACATATGTATAAATTTGTTCACATACACATACACACACACATAAATGTGATGAATACATTAGATCTATTTTCTTACCTTTACTTCAATCCCAAAGCAAACAAAGCATCCAAAAAATAATTATATTTAAAAATATTGACACAAATGAGATATAGAATTCTTGGTCATGATTTTGGAGAATTTTTAGGCCATTTGCATTTCCATGGGCCCACAGAAAAATTCTTCCTCCTTCTGATCTCAATTTTCCTGTCATATGAAAAGCATTCCCAGACAGCACAGATGACATGCAAGAAGAAGACAAGTCTGTTTTTATCTTAGTGTGCACCATCTGCAGCAAGCCTGTGTGCTCACGTGAAATGACTGGGAGTCATTGTGACTGAGGACACAACCCACTTACTCCAGACAGACCTCGTCTCCACCCCCTCCCCATTCCCATCCTCTTAAAAGAGACTTGGGAGCTGCTGACGGCTAAGTGGCCATATGAATACCCATCTGAGGCCTTCTTCCCCTTAATTGCCAGCCAGCATGACCCGGACTCCTGGTCATGGTGATAAGTATGTGTTGTTGATGACCTCCACACCAGCCACTGAGTGACTTTTCAGGTACAATTTACTGACACAGCTCATGTCATTTGATCCTTAAGAAGTGAGAACTTTAATGTGTCCTGTTTTGAAGTAAAATTTAGTTCACTGAGGCAATCTAGGCCAAGACCACATTAGTAATTACCATGGACCTGGGCTCTAAATCTTGACTGGGACACCCCCTCTTCTGCATCCTCCAGCCCTCAGCACATGAGCTGGTTTGGGGCAGCACTGTCCTGGTTTGCTAGTACTTTCTAGATATTTCCTTTCTCCCTAAAGATTTCCTTTCCAACATTTCCTTTCCTTTGGTTTGTTCTGTTCCTTCTCATTATGTAATCTCAGTCACCAGACTAAAATCCTGCTGATGAACTTAGCCCTGATCCAGCATTGATGCCCCAGACACTTGTGAGGCCAGACCCTGCATGGGTATCCTATTAAAATCTTAATATTTGATGCCTAACCTGCCAGCTCCCCAAAGCATCCACCTCTGTGCCCTCTCCATTCTTAAGAATGAGGGTAGAGCATGGGCTTCGAGAGAGCATCTGAACCTTTAAGTTTCTGTTTGACTAAACCCCCACCTCATACTCTCCTTGTTTATGAACTTGTTATATATTTCTGAGCTAAAGGGCTGCCTCTGAATTTTTAGATATCCTGAGCATTCTAAAATAAGCCTGGCTCAGGAGCTGTGTTGAATGAAAGCTTGAGAAGTAAGTGCATAAATACCTTCCCTGGCTTGTTACCTTTTTGCTACCACACCCTTACCATAAACATAATGAATATAAAAGCAATAATGCATTTTTTAAAAATAGAAAACAGGCCCTCCCTGGTGGTGCAGCAGGTTAAAGCACAGCACTAAGAAGCTTAAGCCACTTCAGCATGAGTTCGATCCTCACCCCAGAGGTGATCCATATGG